ATAGACACACATGGGTGCAGAGGCACGGTTAGTGAGCGCGAGCCACCATCACGTGACCGCCTGGACCGGGGCCGGCTCCGCAACGCTGCCTTCCAACCACCTGCAGCCACTTTCAGCATGAAGCCAATTTAAATATGTCAATACTTCAACAAAAGTTTAACAGTATGGACTAAAAACCATTCACTCACGATTCTGGTTACTTTAAAATTTGGTATGCTGTATCTCAAATACATTAGTAACTATTCCTAGATGGAAATAAGCAAATACATGGAATCGTTAAAAAAAAAAAAAGATTAAAAAAAACATCACTAAATGTCCATTTGTACAGACAACATTAGCAAACATCTAAGATTTCTTCAGTAAAAGAAAAACACGTGTATTTTTAACCCTTTGGTATCCAAACAAATTATGAAGACTTTCTTAAATACAGTCTTCAGATAACAAGAGGAAGAAACTATTTTTTAAAGTATTTACCTGAATAAATTTGGTGCCAAGTTTTCATTTCAAGGTCAACATCACTGAGGGTAGTTTTACATTGCAACCGAACCCCAATCATGTTTGCATACGTTAAACAGAAGAGTGTCATTCAGAGAGGCTGATAAAAGGCTTCATGTGCTCCCACTATAATTTAGCAGAGGAAAAAGATATTTGGATTTGGAAATCATTGGCTATTTGAAAGCACTATTTAGAAAAGCGGTGATTAAACAATTATCCTGCTATGCTATTCAAGGTGTTACGAAACTAATCAAAATTCTAAACTAAGTGTGTCCACAGCTTTAGGGGACTGGCTGTCCACCTCTGCTCCTGCTGGCATGCAGAAAGAGCTTCAGCACTATCTCAGGAAGTATCTCGTCTACCAGGCCGGCAGCTCTTCAATACAACGGGAAAAGAGCCAGCCACCAGCAAGATCGGACAAGTGTGCCGGAGTGACACTGAGGTACGGGAGGCAAGACTAGGTGGGAACGCAGAGGGTCCAAAATCAGAAACTAATTCAGAGTTACAATTCTACAAATTTCATAGACTATTATTCTTAGGGGCAAATATGTGAACCAATGAAAAGAAACCACAAATTTCAAACACGAATGAATGAACGGTTACCAGAGTAAGTGTGGGCTAGATTTTGCCTCGGGTAGGAGTTGCGAACAAACTCCCAACAGCAATATGACATATCCTCATGGCACGTATGTGCCCTAAAGGGAATTCTGCTTCCAGAGAGGGCTCTCTGGGTAAGTGCACAAGGCTGGGTCATAAATGTGACCACCAATGACGAACCAAACTAAACCAACTCAATTTCAATTAAGAATGTCTAAAAGTTCAGTAGTGTAGATGCTTTTGCAAAATTAAAACAAAATCTATTAAGATCACATTTTAGACTTTTGTGACTATAGCCAACTGTGCCTGTTTTCTAAATTAGGCAGAAGGATTTTTTTAGAGTGAGTCACTGAACTTGCTTACATAAGGCTATTTATTGATGCTTCTCCAGTTATCTGGACTGCAGTTAAGTTCCTCCTGGGATCAGAATAGTTCAGTTGGAATATACACAGCCCCTTTGAAGATCTGGCTGCCACGGAATCAGTGGCTTCCATAGAAATGCTCTCCTATCGGAAGCTATGAGACTCTGCCATGACCTCATTAAACACTAGCACCCGTGTGGCAGGGCATGAAATGGGCCAGCAAATCTGCCCGAAGTCCCAGCAACTGTAGTTTCACTCTAAATCCCACTGAGTCCCTGTATTTCTACTCAGAGGCATAAAAAAGGCTATTTCAGTATCTGGTTGATACGGAAATGTTTACCTCTCAAGAAAACAAAGTAACCCAAATTAATTGGTGCCCAAATACTGAAAGTAAAGATAATCCAAAGCTTGAAATCTGCAGTTTACAATGTCAGTAGTTAAAAGGTCTTTACTATCAGCAGATAGTCAGCAAGTTTTCTTGCTTTCTCCAAAATCACAGGAAGACTTCATCTTACATTGCTACTTATTTGATCATCAAAAAGAAAAAATAGGCAACGGCAGTTTGCAGGCTCATCTGTGCCCCACTTCCAATGCAAACCCCTCAGAGAGGGCAGCAATCGGTACAGCCGCAGTGACAGACGGAACCGTCACACAAGCAGATGAAGGATGGGGACAACCTCACTTTTGAGAAGTCCATACCTGATGCGCTGGAGAAAAATGGGAACGAGAAGAGTCTGCAGAGGTTCAGTTCAGGAGATTTAAAGTATGCAAACATTGAACCTGGTCACAGAATTACCACTTAATCCTACGTATTTTTACTTTTGGATGTAAACAATGACAAATGATAATGACCATCATATAAGCCAGAAACAAAACCTCATGAGAAAAAGAAAACTTGGCACCAAAACTCAAGATGTAAAATAAGAGAAGAAAAAAAAAAACTCCATCAACATACTCACGTGTGGTGCTAGAAAATGTTATACACGGTGCCCAGCGGCTGACATGCGTTATCGTACAGACGCGGCCTATATTGGTAAGTGAGTTACACAACAAACCACTCTAGCCACAGACGCGGGGTACGCTTGCCCTCATCATTATCTACCCAGTGACCAAAAAAGCAGCAACTTAAGATTTTGGCCACTTTATGCAGCTGATACATAAAAAAAAAAAAAAAAAAAAAGTAGGAATTAATAACAAAATTAATAATCACCACCAAGTGTGACAAAATACTGATACGAGACAGCTTTCAATCTCTTCACAGGAAAAGGAAAAGGTTCATATTATAGCATGTAATATGAAGAATTAATAATCTGGCCCATTGTGAACTAGAAAAAACACAAATCACCTTAGGAAAGTAAATTAATACTGTGCCCCTCGATCCTCTTAAAAAACAAAACAGAACAAAAAGGCATTTTATTTGCTAGGACTACTCTTTACCGTGTGAGCAGTACAAGTAAAACAGATCTAAGTACCATAATTTGGGGGACTCAAACTATCATCTGTTGGTAGGCTAAAGGTGTTAAACTATAAAAATGTGCAGAACAGACATCAAAAAGCAATTTACAAATCAGCTTCCCAGCAAAACTGGCAATTTCTCCAGATGTTAAAACTAAATAACCACATATACAATTGATTCTTTGTGCTCTGTCTCCAGGCCAAAGACTTAGAATTTTAAGAATCGCTTTTGGCTAGGTGGCTCGGGCTAAATACTTCTTCTAAAAAACATCTCAAGGTTCAGGCAAGGGAAATCACCATAATGCAGGGTCTCGAGGGAGTGGCTCTTATACTGAGAAGGAAAAACAGCCTGGCACTCAAGGCCAGGCTCGGTCACACTTGGTGGGAAAGAGACACTCGAGGGTCCTGTAACCAAGGACAGAATTGTAAACAAAAGATTCTCATTTTAGAAAGACACCTATTAAAAAAAGGATATAAAGATAAATATTTATTGGCTCAAAGAATTAAGCTATTCATTGAAACGAAGAGAACTAACATCTTAGTAATAAAATGTTCAGGGTCAATTAGACTATTGTTTAGAAAAATAAGTCATTAAAAAGGTCAAGTTCTAATTATTATTTCAATAAATGACAAGCAATATAATCATTGATTTTATATGACTCTGTATTTCATAATCAAAGCTTCTGTTATTAAAATAAAGATTTGAGTTTTTAATCTAAACACAGCTAAAAAAATGCACATATAACTTCACTATGAAGCAATCCATTGAGAATCATCTCAAATTGTATAATATATATTCATATTATCCATTATTTTTACATTACCTGAAGTCATATCTATATGAAGTCACAAGGTACCCTGCAATGTAATAGTTAATACAGGGCATATTTACAATACTAAATTTCTATGGAAAAGATCCAAGCCCAAACTAATGACTTATCTTAACGACATAATACTTAAATGAAACAGAAGCTAAGATCCTAGGAGCCAAATGACAGCCCCTGGTATTAGGCCTTGCATTAATTAATCTATATGGTTTTGCTATCCAGGATCTATTTTCAATGAATTTATTATAACACAGAGTCAAAACAATGAAGTGGAAACCAAAGGGTTAAACTAGGTTAGTTTTGTGGGTTTATATCTCCCAAAGTCTAGATTTTCACATTTCCAATTAGAACAAAGTGGTTTCTAATTAATTTTTATGAAATATTCAAGACACTCAGAACAAAAAAGCTAACATTATAGTTATTTTGGTTATTACAGCTCTATAGCTTACACTCAACATTTAGGGGTGAAAACCGCATCCATTTTGTTAATGCTGTGAACTGCAGAAGAAAAATTTTTACAATATAAATCTTTCAGAAAAAGTTAATACAAATGAATTTAATACCTAAAATAAATGTTTAATGCCATGGCTAGCTAATGACTTTTGCATATAAGACCACGTCTTTAAATTAATACACTTAAAAATACTGTTCTATCAAGCCACGAATAAACTAGCTCATGTAAACTGGACTAAAACAAGATTACAATAATGTCACCGGTATCAAGAGCTCAGAGGGAGTCTAAGTCTTTAATGTATATGGTTCCATTTTACAAGTTACAAATCATTAAAAGTCAGAATATGCTTTAAAACATCATGTTCTCGCATCTGCTAAAAGATGAGAAAATCACAACTTAGAAAAGCTAGCTGTCTGTCAGGATATGGGGGCCGGAGAGGCCTGAAAAGATGCTCTAATCCAATCCAAGGGCCTCATTTCAAAATTAACACTGGCAAAATAAGTTTGACGACTTGCCCGTGGTGACACAACTAGTTAGTGGCCAAGTCAAAAATGCCAGGTTCCAAATGTAATTAGCTCACTGCTCTTTCCATCCTCATGTGCCGTCATGGCAACAAGCCCGCAGCAGCTCTCTCTCCACTGGCCGTCAACCCCCACCAGAGCCCTGCCCACTATCGCCAACTGATGTACCGAGCAGAGCTCTGCTAACGGAGACACCACTCGAGGACTGCTGCTTGCTCTCAGTGCATGCTGTCTGTAAGCACAGTGCCCTGACTGCATCTCGGCAGGACGGATAAGCGAAGGCACTTACTCGATGTGGGCCCCATTGGCCACCAGGGCACTGACGCAGTCCAGGCTCCCAGAGCGAGCCGCCTTGTGAATGGGGGTCTCGCCCTCACAGTCCTGAAACAACAGAAGGCACACACAACATATCAGATCCAACAGGACTCGGACATTTTCAAGTAACATAATGGACACAGACCGTGCACCTCGTTCGTCCTGGAGACCAAACAACACGGCGAGTCAGAGTTGACGGAGAACACACAGAACTGTGGCCAGAGACGCGGGAGGGAAAATAGAAGTCGGCCATGGAAGGGGCACGTTCTCCTGAATTCCTGGGTCAAGAGCAAAGAGTCGTGGGGCCTCTCTGGCAGGGACAGCACACACACTTCACATGGACATCCGGGAATCATTTTATGCTGGATCTCAGCACAAATGCACTGTATATACAACCCAGAACAATTACCCTGTAACAGCTTAAAAAGAAAAAAGGAACCAAGTCCAAGGTACAGCACACACCGTCCAGCGCCTGGTCTACCCAAGAGTGCCCACATCCAGCACAGGGCGGGCCTGAGCTGAGACATGGCCCGTGCCCCCTGCACCTCGAATCCCAATTACGAGTCACTGTAGACACGGGGGGTAGAGATAAAAGGGCCCGGAAGGGTGAGGAAGAGGACCCGGGGCCACACACAGCCAGCTGCACCCACGGACCCTGAGAAAAGGCTGCATCGCAGCAGGATTCACGCTTCAGAGTAACGCTGCAGTAGGCTGAGAAAGTGAGCCAATGCTGGGCAGGACGGTGAAGAAGATGAATTAGTTTGCAGAGTATGAACGGGACAAAATCTGAAATACGCTTCCATTCACGGGCTCTCCGGTTCATAAGAGGGAAAGAAAGAGGCAGCCGTCAAGAGGAGCAAGCTGTTTCTGTTTGAAACCCCGAGGCAGGACCTCCCGCTTGGCCCAGCAGCACGGTTCCGAGTCATCGCGCCTCCCCGTCCCTGGAAGCCGAGCCTGGCAGCAGAGAGCTCCCCGTAACAAAGGGAGGGGCAGCAGCGCACTGTGCACGGCACCCTGAGGACAGTTCATTCATAAACCGGGATACAGCCGAGCTCCTGCCCCCGCGCACCTGAGCTCACAGACAGATCCCAGGGCGCAGGCCAAAGGGAAGAGTGCTTGCTGCCTCTACAGCAGCACGTAACCTCAAAGACTCCAGCGTGTAGCGCAGAGAAGAGTGTGAGCACTGACTGAAAGTGAGCTCAGAGGTAATGTAAAGTTCTACACAGAATAAGCCCATTTCTGAAGAAAGAAACACAGAATTTCACATGGCTACCCAGGGAGCCATCCAGTGAACTCAGATCCTTTTTTTTTTTTAAGGTTTTATTTATTTGTTTGAGAGAGAGAATGAGAGAGTGCATGAGAGGGGAGAGGTCAGAGGGAGAAGCAGACTCCCCGCTGAGCAGGGAGGCCGATGCGGGACCCGATCCCTGGACTCCAGGATCATGACCTGAGCTGAAGGCAGTTGCTTAACCAACTGAGCCACCCAGGTGCCCCAGATTTTTTTTTTTAATGATTATTTACCTATTAGAGAGAGGGTGAAAGTGAGAGAGCATGAGCAGCGGGGAGGAGCAGAGGGAGAAGCAGACTCCCTGCTGAGCGGAGAGCCCGATGCGGGGCTCGATCCCAGGACCCCAGGATCATGACCTGAGCTGAAGACAGACGCTTAACAACTGAGCCACCCAGGTGCCCCTCAGATTCTTAACAAAGCAAAAACCTACCCCGATCCCCCCAAAAAGGGGGGGAGGGGAGAGACAGGAAGAATGTAATCAGGACGAGTAACACTTGCATAGCATGGAGATTTGGGGGGGTGGTGCCGCCCCCAACCACCCCCCACAGGAAAACAAAGAAAGGTTTTTAAAGCTATCTTTGGAACAAGGAGAAAAAGCCAAAGTCTGCTCTATCACTTCAAGAAGATGATGGGACAGTAACAGAGGACAGAGGAGGAAGCAAAACCAGCTCCCATGTGCGTCCTCCAAGGAGAACAGCTTTGGGCCGGAGGGGAGAACCAACGCTGAAGAACACACAGCCCAGACATAAGATGAGGAGCCGTTTCAATTACTCACGTCTCCAGCTCAGACAAGTTACATTCCAAAAATATCAACTATCTTGTAGTATGATTCCAGAACTATTGTGGGCAAACTGAGTAATAAGGGAAAGTGGGAGGGGTGCCACAAGTCTGAAGACTGACAAGTCACCGTGAATGGCAAATACAGAAAAGTCTAGTTCTAATCTGGCTATAAGACACTAGAGGTGGTACCAAATGTCACCAAAATTCTAGAATTCTAGACCAGTAGTAAAGAGATGACTTGTAAATCCTGGCAGAACGTGACGCCCGTGGGTTGTGGCCACAGACCGGCTGAGAATAAATCACCTGGAGACGGACTTCCTTCTCTGTGGGTAAACGGAGGCTCCAGATGGCCCCTCACTCCAGGTCTGTAGACCGAAAACACAGTCTCCGTTAGACTCGAGGACAATGAACTGACTACAGTTAGGAACTAATATGCCAAAAAATCGAGACTAGAAGGTGGGTGGAAACTGGAGCAGGAGCAGAAAGGCCGCGGCAGGTCCAGAAAAATGGCAGGCACACAGACGGGCTTAGGAAATCCTGGATCTGGTTCTCTAACAGTTTACGTGGGGGACAAGAAACTGTCCACTGGGGGGTAGCTAACAGAAGAGCTGCCATGCCCTCCGAGGTCAGGGGGTGCCTTCACAGCAGGCCGGCCGCCACTCCCCACACAAGGGGGCAGCCGAGACCCTGTCAGCAACCATGCCAGTAGGCCCAGGGATGCCGGGTCACAGCCTTGGACACGAGAGGGCTTGGGGGGCTGCGAGGGGGGCCCAGCAGCCCCTGGTCCAGGGCAGAGGCTGGGCTGCTGTCCAATGGTATGTGGAAAAGAACTTCTAGACTTGAACGGTCTGAAAGGCAGCACAGGACCATCTCTTTCGACCTCTGTAAATCAGATACTCCGTGAGAACTGAATGGAAAACCACCAGAGGGGCGCCTGGGGTGCTCAGGGAGGAGTCTGCTTCTCCCTCTGCTCCCTCCCCCACCCCCGTTCGTATGCTCTCTCAAATAAATAAATAAATAAAATCTTAAAAAAAAAGAAGAAAGAAAAGCAACAGAATATCTATACCGAAGTTCCATATTAGTCATTAATCACTCCCATTTGTGGATTATCCATATCTCATTAACGAGGGCATTGAGCACAAGGACTTGCCCCAGGCCAGGGAGCCGCACAGGGGAGGTGGAGCGTGGCACCCCTGGGTCCTGGGGCGTTCTGCTAGGAGAACGTGCACAGAGAAGGCAGCACCAGGAACGGGCAGGTGGCGACAGGCAGGCCTGGCACAGTCATGGTGGGGGGCTGCGTGGCCCCTGAAAACACAGATCACAGCGACACGCACCGTCACTGCCCTGACCCCTGTTCTAAAGCACTACCACAAACATGTGTCCTTGATTCCTGCCTTGTGGGTGGCCGGCTGACTGGCCCATGAGGGAGGGGCCTGGTTGTCAGCAAGGGATGAACCTTGGGAAAGACAGCAGAGAGGAAACAGAAACTGTTTTGCACATAGTGGGCCCTTGAGGATTCTTAATAGAAAATGCAAATAAAAACAGGAGAAAAGGAAAAGAGGAAAGAGGGAAGGCATAAAGGCATTCCTACAGAGCCCCAGGCACAAGCCCCTAGACACATCCACCCTCAGGGCAGGGTCTCCGCCCCGGGACCCCTCTGGCCAGACTATCCCGAGTCCTCTACACCCACACACAAGTCCCCAGGAATCGAAACTCTCTCCCTGAGGTTTTCTTCGAGGAAGTGAAAGGAACAGTGAAAACACCCCAAGAGGCTGCCTCCTCGTGCGCCCCCCCCCCCGCCCCCCCCGCGCTCCTCATGGGCCATCAGTAGGAGGCCAGCCTGCTAGTGCTGTAGAGCTGCCTCAGCGGTGCGGAGGATGCCACAGCTGTTCTTCTGCTAACACGGATGTGTCTCAGGGCTTTGTGTAGCAAGGAAGCCGAGGCTGCTGTGGGCAGGGGAGCCGGGAAATCTGGGCTCCAGGCCAGACTCCTTCAGTTACCAGCTGTGACGCGGGCAAACCACCTCGGATCGCGGTGGATCTCGGTAAGTCACGTAACAGGTGAAAGCGCTCTCTAAACATAACGCACCGCTCCGTGAAGGGCCCATTATCCACAAATAACTCCATACACGTAAATTCCAGTCAGCCCCGAGGTTAACCTATCAAACTCTAATTAAGGCCTCCATTTAAAACCCAACACCATGTAATTATAACTGGAAAAAGAAAATAAAAACCAAGTTAATCATCGGCACTCCCTTACCGGTTTGTTAATGCTGGCTCCTGCTTGAATCAACCAGATGAGGCACTGGGGGTGGCCCCCAAAAGCAGCGATGTGGGCTGGGGTCTGTGCGTAGCGTGTAGTGGAGACGTCCAGCGTGGCTCCAGCTCTCACCAACTGGATGAGGCACTCCAACTTTGAAAACGGCCGAAGGGGGATGACACACGTGTAAGTGTCGTATGCTTTTTACGTGTTACACAAACAATTTCAATTCTATGACGTAGGTAAGTGGCATTTTTTGTTGCCCAGATTTTTTTCTGTTTAAGGGAACAACAGAAGTCATTCCTTCGCAATACAAATTTTAAAAAAGCTTAAAAAGACGGGCGCCTGGGTGGCTCAGTCGTTAAGCGTCTGCCTTCGGCTCAGGTCATGATCCCAGGGTCCTGGGATCGAGTCCCGCATCGGGCTCCCTGCTCTGCGGGAAGCCTGCTTCTCCCTCTCCCACTCCCCCTGCTTGTGTTCCCTCTCTCACTGTGTCTCTCTGTCAAATAAATAAAATCTTTAAAAAAAAATTAAAAAGCTTAAAGAGAGTATTTTTCCTTATCCTGGTTTTAAAAAAAAATCTGTTACACGGGAATACAAAGTCAAAAACATTGACGCCACACAAATTTAAACATTCTGTTTTTCCTACAACCGAAAAAGCCAAAATCAGTAAAGACTGCGATATTCAAAGACTTCTATCGCAGCTGGGTCTTGCCACTTTCACACGCCATGCTACAGAACAAAATCAGTGACTGGTTGCTGAAAAGAGGTGCAGCCACCGTAAACGCTTCATAGAGCGTTTTCTGCTCTGCACGAGGGCATCCTGTGCACCCTCTCACAGGCCGCATTCGAGGAAAGCTCATCCGAGGCCTGCCTCCAGTCCTGATGTGCAGAGTGAGTGTTCACACTGTGCACGCCCCCCAACGCGCCCCCCCCCCCGGAAGGAAAAGGCCTAGGGCACATCCAAGCTCTGGCCTCCCAGGGGGCTGAAAGAGGACCACGCATGTGGCAAGACCACACTTTGCAGCGGGGCACCAATATCATCCCAGCCTCTGGCTGCAGGAGGCTCGACACACTCCACACATACCCAAGTGCCCACTGCCAGCCAGGCGCTGTCCCACAAGGCCTGTTGTCCGCAGACTTACACTGCTCCACCCACATGTCCTCAGATCCTGCTCGGCCCATTTCCCCTCGAGGCATAGGGCAGAGTTAGTGGAAAAGCTCCAAGTGCCGCCAATGATCCTCTTCCAAAGGACAGAGCTCGGAGGAAGAACAGGCGGCCACACCCCGATGTGACCCCGCATCTCTTATCCTCTGTCAGCAATTTAAGCCTTTACTTGCAAAGGACAGGTCACTGCAATCCACATTTGTGGGAGATGGACTCTCACGCTGGGAGCACACAGATTTAACACCATCTCGGGCTTCCAGGAACTAGAATCTGGGAGTGACGGCTGATAAAGAGACACATCTTTGGCGCACTTTTGCGTAACGCCGTTATTAACGTACTGGGGGACAATGAAAGTGCCAGTGGTAGTGGTAAGGCCAACAGGTTTCAAATCCAAAAAAAAAAAAGAAACAAGGATCAAAATCAGCGGGCATGCCAAAGGCTGTTACTTATTAAGATCAAGCAAGAGCTCCCTGGACTTAAATCTGTTACCTGTGGGTTCACTTTAGGAAACTGGGAGAGATACTGTTCCATATGACAGCTTGTAAAAGCCAAGTATAACTAGAGATTTTAAATAATGTTTAGTTCTCAAGGAAGAATATGCCTCATGAAAGGTCAGGTAATGTGCAGAGTTGGCACATTTCTCGGAACACCAGCCTGAAAGATGGGAATAGGTCATAATGTGTTAAATGCCAACTTGGCTCTTGCCCAGGCCCCAGCACAGGGCAGGCTCACATGCAGATAAAAACAGGGGAGCTGCTGGCTGGGGGCGGGGAGGGGTTGAACGGAGAGCTCGGAGCCCCACTCCTGGCCTAATTTCCGCCCCAACACTGAAGGAACGAACAGCCTCTGGTTACATCTGGTGCCCAAGGTTGACCTACTACTTATGTTTCACAGACTTCCAAAAAGTGAATTCAGGGGGGTTTTGCTTCTTACTGTTTGTAAAATATACATAACCTGAGAGGTACTACGGTAAGCGTGTTAAAGCCTGTCCCAGCTCCTTCTAATGCCGAGGGGTACCTGGAGGCACCCCTGGGTTGGTAAATACCCTGAACACTGTAATGAGGTTTTAAGCGCTGGACAGAATGTACCAGGTTGTCCTACAATACTGTGTCATGCTCAACTGGAGGATCAATCTACAGGGAAGCCTTTTCAAAAACAGCTGTCCTTGCCTGGTCCCCAAAGCACGTGGGGACCGAAGATGTTGAGGACCCGTGCTCTGAGTTACCCACGATTTAAGGGACAAAAACCCCGGGGCCAGGCGCACTGGACAGGGACGCAGAGCTTCAGCGCACGACTGCCTCGGGCGAGGTCCAGCGGAGGCGGGAGAGCGGGCTCCAGTCGCGGGGGTCTCGCAGCCCGCCGCGCTGTCCCGCCTCCCTCCCACGGCCTCCACGGGCACGAATGGGGCTCTCCCTCTGTTTGGAGCGTGCATGCTTCCCGAGATACACCGGAGCTGAATCGTGCTCCGACTGTGCTGAATGCAGCGGCAGCAAGAGCAACCTGTGCCTGGAAAGACACGGCACCCGGCTCTGCGAGACCCCTTCTTTCCTCAGCCGCGGCCGTACGGTTTCCCAGGGAGAGCACTGTTCAACGTCCACAAATCGGAGCCATAGTGTCAGCTGTGACATGCGGCGGGGACCTCGTTCTAAGACTGACGAGGAGCGCGTTCCCGAATCCTTGGGAAACGGACGGTGGCGTCCTCTCCTTCCCAGATGTCCAGTACTCCCAAGACGTGGTGCACAAGGGACGCAGCCTGCACAGGAGGGCGACCCCGACTCCAGCCGCGGGCAAGTCACCGCGCCGCGGCCGCGAGCCCAGGCCACTCCCCCGCCCGCAGCTCCCCCGCCCTCAGCGCCCGGCCTCGCGGGCCCGCGGCCGCCCCAAGGGGCAGCGCCTCCGCCCCGGAGCCCGGGCCGCCGCAGGCGCCAACTGCCTCCGCTAGGGGCGGCGCGCCCGCGAAGTCGGCGCCGTTTCAAACTTGCGCCGCCGCACATGCGCCCCGGGCCCCTTGGGGCGCCGTCGCCGCGGGGCCCGCTTCCGCCCCGCGCTCCCGGCACACCCCGCGCCCCCCGCGGGGCCCCGGCCCGCCCGCACCGCCGCACATGCGCCTCAGACCCCTCGCTCGGGGCGCCAGGGCCGTCGACCCCGCTTCCGCCCCGCGCTCCCGGCACTCCCCGCGCCCCCCGCGCCTCAGCCCCCACCCTCCCCGGCCCACCACTGGAGAGCCCCGGAAAATGGCGCCTTAAAGCGCCCGCGCCCACCTTGCCGAAGTGCGCGGCCCAGTGCACGGGCGTCCAGCCGTAGAAGGAGTCCTCGGCGGCCAGGTGGGCGCGCGGCGTCTGCTGCAACAGCGAGCAGAGCGCGGCCAGGTCTCCGTCGCGGCAGGCGCGGTGCAGCGGGAAGCGGAGCGACAGCAGCTCCTCGCTGGAGAAGCCCGCCTCCACGCCTGCGCCCGCTCCTGCCGTCGACATGGTCCGTCACCGGAGAGCTCGGGCTAGCCGACCGAGAGGACGCGCGGTGAGGACCCGAGAGGCCGCCGCCTGAGCACAAAGGAGCGCGAGTGTCGCCGCCTCGTCCCGCCGGCTGCAGAGCGGAGCGGAGCAGAGCGCGCACAGGGGGCGGGGCGGGGGCGGGGCCTGCCGCGGGCCGGTCTGAGGCCGGCGCCCGCGGACGCCGGGGGCTGGAGGCGGGGCATGGAGCGCCGGGGGGCGGGGCCTGGTGAGGCCTTGGTTGGGGCCGACGCCTGGAGCCGCAGGAGGGCAGGGAGCGGGGGGCGGGGTCTGGGCCGGGGAGCAGGCGCTGACGCGCGAAGCAGGGGCGGGGCTTGGGCCAGAGGCGGGGCCTAGCGGGGTGGGGCCTGGGGGCCGGCGCCTGGAGCAGGAGGCGGGGCCTGGGCCTGGGACCGGGTCTAGCTGGGCGGGGGTGCGACGAACGCCTGGAGCAGGAGGCGGGGACGGGGCACGAGGCAGGGCCCGGGGCAGGAGGCGGGCGGGAGCCCGGGGAATTCCGGGAGTCGGGAGCGGCAGAGGCGGACCCGGGGCCGGCGGGTGGGGTCGGCTCTCGGCCGCGTGCCCGGTCCAGACCCCTGCCGCGCAGTGTCCCGACCGGCCGGCGGGGACACTGCCGGCTAGGCCCGAGGCCCCGCCGGGCTCCGTCCTCACGAGGCGCCCGCCTGTCGGGCAAGCTGCAGGAGCAGCCAGCAAAACACTGGAGAATCCTCGGTCAGCGACCGAGAATCATAGTTTTCTTAACAGATTTTCTAATGATAAGAGTAATACGTGAAAACCAGTAATTTACTATCGAGGAATAACCACTATCAACGCTTATGGGTTATTTCCTTACAGTACTTTTCTTACCATATAGTTTCATTTGTATATATTCTTTTTCGTCGTAAATACTGCTTTCCTTGTTTCTTTCACAGAATTCGGAATCCCAGTAATTCAACTTTAAGTAGGGAACCAGATGTCTGGGAAAATAATGGTGCATTGATACCACCTGGCAGCATTAGCTAATAAAACAAGAAGTTGAGCCCCTAATGCCTAACGAAGGGAAATTGTTAATTTATGGTGTAAATGTACAACACAGTCCTCTATTCATACAAGTGTGTTGATGACATGTGAATGCCGCACTTAGGGAGATGCTCCAGATACAGGAAGTGAGGAAAAGCAGCAAGTTCGATTCAGGGAGCAATTACTAATGCATGGGAAATGTGAACGAGACAGATTCCGTCTTCTCTCAAGGGGTTTCTGGTCTATTAGATGAGGCAAGAAAGACTATTTCAATAGTTGAAGCAATACCTTTTTGTTTGGACCAGAAAGGTGGAACTATGCTGTCAGCTCATGGCAAGCTTGGTCCACTCCAGAAGTCAACCATTTTTCTTTGCATAGACCATGCTGATTTTAATCTAATTATCTCTGTAAAGTGTATACCCCGATAATGACTTCCATCCTTCCTAGGAAAGAGGCACCCTGTTTTGCAAAGGACGTGAACATGCCTTGTCCTCTGTAATATCGAGGGGGAGGGACTACTCCTCTTTACTGTGCCCACTGCGGTTGACAAAACTGAGACACAGAGAAGCTGAGCACTAGCACAAGGACAAACCCGGTGCCTGGGGCAGAGCTGAGCATAATAGCCAGACCTAGTTTCCAAACCAGTTAGATTTTTTTACCCTTGGAATTTATTTTGCGTTAAGAGCCTTAAGGCCTAGGAAAATAAAGTAGGTTAGAGTGGCACCAAACATAGATGCCATGACTTCCTGGTTTTCAGAGTTACTAGGACTGTGTACATGTTTAAGTAGCTGAAATAGATCAACACAGATATGATGATGCGTCCCTGCGTGATAATTGTGGATATGAGAATTATAAGGGCTTCCAAATGCCAGCGTTCTAGTTGGTTGGTCCCAAGTTCTGCCCAACTCATTATTATTACCAATTATATATTTTCTTCGGGATTCTGGGGGAAAGGGGGGGACTAGATTCATCACGCGTTCTTTGATTTATTTGACAAAACAACCATAAATATGTGACAAAACATTCTCTCCTTGACCGAACTCTACTCGGGCTCCTCCGAATTTCAGCCAGGTTTAAACTTTGGACTTGGGTGTTTGTCTCTGCATTGTCCAATTTTAGCAAGACTCCTGCTAACTTGGTTTAGCTACAATTCCCATCCCCCATACCTGATCATCTTTGATATCTGATCAAGTTCCTCACCCCCCAGGCTCCCCTGGGTGATGTCAGCTCACCCCTGCCTGCCTTCAGCAAGAATCCTGCTGGGTCAGTTTAGCCAGAGCTAGCTGGTTCACTGGCCCTGGTGTTTTGTCCTAGTAGCATTTCACCCTCGGTCGCCCACCCAGGGTAAAGAAGTTGCCCGTGCTGTACTCAGAGCTGAGCCCGATCTTTCTCCCTATTACAAGGAAAAGTGGGGTTCCTGCTGCCACTGCCTCAGTCCCTGAGCATAGTCTGCTTTACTATGCTTTAACAAGTCTCACTGAACAGTTTGTTTGTTAGGATTTTATTTATTTGACAGAGAGAGAGAGAGTGCACAAGCAGGGGGAGTGGCAGGCAGAGGGAGAGGCAGGCTCCTCCTTGTGCAGGGTCCTGGGATTAAGTCCCCGGACCCTGGGATCATGACCTGAGCCAAAGGCAGAAGCTTAACCTACTGAGCCACCCAGGCGCCCCTGAACAATGTTTTTGAATAATAATCTTTTTCTTTAACATAGGCAAACTTTGGTGTTTGAAGATATGATTGAGATACATGGAAGCAGGAAGACTCAAAACTCAATGTATCAAAACGAAATACAACAAAACCCCTCTGCACTGAGGATTGCATTGTGCGAGGAATTGCTCAAATGGGGCAGGGCTCAGGTGCAGGCATGTTCCAGTCAGAGACTCACAGAAGTGCCCACACGTTGCGTAGACATCAGTAGGACTGTTTTCACACTTGGAACAGGACACAGTCAAGGCTGTGCCACCGGAGATGAGATCGGAGAAGGTAGGACCGAGGCTATGCACCACGCTGAGGAACCGCGTAGGACCGCTGAGAGGCTTTGCTGTGGTGCCAGGTGAGGGCTCTGAGGAAGACCACGTCCCGCGTGCAGCTGGCCCTGCGTGGGCAGCCCACTCCGTTGGGGCCCGTGGTCTGGAGGACACGCAGGACAGTAGCCTGACTGTTCTCTCCCCTGTGCCCCCCCACCATCTCCCTTCCTCCACGTGGCTAGATCCATCTTTTAAGAAGGCAAATTGACTAAAAACTGGACATGAGAGCAGTGTCTTGGTCTGTTCCGGCCTCCGAAACATAGTGCCACAGGCTGGTGGGTTTAAACAACAAAAATGAATTTTTTGCAGTTCTGGAGACTGGAAGTCTGAGATCAGGGAGCCAGCAAGGTTGGTTCCAGGGGGTACGGCAGTGGGGGGCTCTTCCTGACTCACAGGTGACATCTTGCTACGTCCTCACTTGGTGTGGAGGGAGCCACGTCTCTGGTGTTTCTTCCCCTGGGGTCACTGACCCCATCATGGGGTCTCCACCCTCATGACCTCATCCAACCCTGATCACCTCCCAAAGGCCTCACCTCCAGAGAGCATCACATCGGTATGAATTTTGGGGAGACACATTCAGTCCATAGCAAACAACTTCCCAGACTAACGGCATTCAGATACCACCCCCACGTGGATTTTCACCACATTTATGTGGATTTTTGTATCCATGTAGGATCTGTGCTATTAATAATTTTCTTAAAATAAGTTCACTTCTTAAAATTACTGACTTTATTTATGTTCTCTTGATGAAGAAAACGTCAATGAGTTTATGGTACCAATTACATTTTCTCACTACTCATTGAAACAAATCCACAACAAAATAGCATGTGTTCACGTGCTTTCCAAATCACTTGCCACGGTTGGTGGTGCTACACTGTGCCTTGGAAATTGTTCCCTGGGAGCCAAGTCCCGGATCTGTCCATAGGCCCCTTGATACACTCCCGCCAGGGCCTGCCAACGGGCTGTCCACTCAGCCCTTGAAACCGAGGATGTTTCTGCTGGAGGCTTCTCCCACCCTGTCCCCAGCACTTACTTTCCGTCTTGTAGCTGAGTTATGCACCCCTCCATTCATGTGTTACAGCCCTAACCCCTCAGTGCTGTGGAATGTGACCTTCTTTGGAAAGGGGGTCATTGTAGATGTAACTAGTTAAGATGAGGTCCTAGTGATGGGCAGGACAGGCCCTAACCCAATGTGACTGCTGTCCTTCCAAAGAAGGGACGTTTGGACGCAGGTGCATGCATGGGGAGAACACCACGGGAAGGTGAAGGCAGAGACGGGGTTGGTGCAGCTTAGAAGCCAAAGAACACCAAGGACAGCCAGGAACAGCAGAGTCTGGGGAGGCCTGGAACAGGTCCTCCCTCCACCCAGCCTCCAGAGCCAGAGCGTAGATTCCACCCGCCTCAGCCCCATTTGCTGGGCTTGGTTATGGCATCCCCAGGACACTGGCCCGGCCGGGCTGTGGAGGCTCCCCCATGGCCCCCAGCCCACACTGCCAGGAATGCGCTCAACTCCACATGCTTCTCCTTCCCAAAGCCTCCGCCCGATGACAGCCAAAGCTTCCTTCCCCTCCACTCCAGGAGTTCCCAGGTTTCTAGCATTTTCGTTTCCTTTCACCCTTAAATGAAACAAAAAGCCCGGCAAGTAAATGTTGCTCGTTTTTAATCATAAAACCTTGATTGTGAAGAGGTGTGCCCTGAGGTGGCCTCTTCACATCCAGCAGACCTCTTGACAAGTAGAAACATGCCCCAAACATGCTTCTGGTGGCTCCAGGTGGGGAGGTGGGCCTTTGTCTTCAGAGGTGGCCTCTCTCTGATCTGAAAGGGAGCCCCCAGGCAGGGCTGAGAGCTTGCTCTGCAAACAGGTGCTGTCTTGAATAAAGCACTAGACGGTGCCTTTCTCTCTCCCTCCCTCTACTTCTGTCTCTGTCTCTGTCTGTCTGTCTCTCCGTATCTCCATCTCTGTCCTTGTCTCTCACTCTCCATTGTCACCATATCTCTCACAGGAGGACAGAGCCCCACCTATACTGAGCCTACGA